GATATTTAAAATGCTCTTTAGTAGTTCATTACACATTTTAACCTATTAAAAAGTCTCTAGTGCGTCTCAAGAGTCAGGACAGTGCAGAATTAGAGGCTGCACAGGAATATTCACGTCCCAACAGCAAGCAGAGTTTCTTCCAATTGCACCACTAAGTGCATGCATTTTAAGACCAAATCAAATTGTATCCTCCCACTCCCCCCATCTCTTATCAAACCTTCAGAGGTCTGTTCTGCTTCTAGTGTGTGTGCGCATCGCCCCCATTAATATCCACGGGAATTCTGCTGGGCTGACAGACACGGGAAAGTCTTCCTCTCCACTCGTTTGATCCTCAGAAGAACGGAGTGTTTGATGCTCATTTAAAAATGAAGGTGCTTTGGAGTCCACACTGCTGCTCTTTCTTCCTGCTGCCCTCCCTACCTGCTCCCATCCCCCTTAAAAAAATAAAGTACCGCAAAATATTCGGCCCCACCACAGGAAGGGGAAAATCGATTCGTTAGGTCTATGCAAAGGAAAGCCAATAGTTAATACTGTCTTTCAATAAATATAAAATTTCTATTTCATCCCTTTTAAAAAAATACTTGCACTATAAAGAAACAAAAAATGACCTGAAAGAATCCTAGCAGCTCCAAAGAAATTCAATAGATACCCATTAGTCAATTCATTATGACATAATTAAGGCGGGAAAGCTTTGGAATCAGTTATACTCAGGGTAATAGTTGAAACTCTGTAGTTTATAGAAAAAATACTCTTCAAATTTTTTTTATTGGAAACTTAACTTTGCTTTAAGTTCAATTTTTTTCTTTGATTAAAAAAGCTATGAACTATCCCTAAACTGCAATAAAAAAAACGGCAGACAAGCAAATGCCAGAAACTGACCGCAAAGGTAAGAGTCCACAGAAACCTCTGTCTAATAACAGACGACACAGCAGCAGCCTATGGTCAGAGCCCTGTCCCTACAGTCTCAGCTCCCGGGGTCATTCAGGGGAGTTATTCTTGTGCAAAAATTGCAGAGCTGGGTTACATGAGAAAACAAATGTTTGAGGCAACTTGCCCTTCACCTGTTAAACTTCTGCCGTGTCTGCTAAACTACCGAGCAATCGGATCCTGGCATATGAGAGTCTGACTGTTTCTCGTTCACTCTTTCAGACTCCTACCAACTATGTACAGGTTTACATTCACACCACAGTACAGCAAGCTGGGTTCAAAACAGTCGTCAGAGGGATGACAATACAGTCAAACTTCATTAATAAGAATACACTGTCAGTGCGTGCTGCAACTGGAGGATTAAAGCACCCGGCTAAGCGGTTTTAAAAAGAATAAAATAAGAGCAGTGACAATCTTCATGGCAACTGCTCGAGGGACTTCAAATGAATTTCGTTTAGACAAGAGAACGGATTCAGTGTTTGTTGCTCGCATCTTCCGAGCCAGTCAGTTATTTTTAAATTAGCAGTAGTGTGTGGGTGTCAGCTACCCTAAAACGGGAGGATTCATTTCAATTCATTCGGTAGCGCTAAGAATTTCTGAAGCAGCTAACGATTTTAGGGTCCCTAAGACCAACTTAAGAGACCTTAGAGGGGCCCGATTCTGAGAAAGTGCTTCCAAAAATGAGGCCTTGGCAGGGTGCACCAAAACCACCAGGCACTTTTAGGGGGAAAAAAATCTGCTCCCATTGCCCCCCTACAGCATGCTGCTGGTTTACCTCGATCTTTCTTTATCAGGTGGGTCGGGGCAGCACAATGGTGATGGCATACTGGAATCAGCCCAGAGTGGGAGAAAATCCCCTTTTAGGCAAGGAAGGAAGACGGAAGGAAGGCTGATGTTTTACCAGCATTCCTCCCCCCCCCTTCCACCCAGGTTTTTCTGAGGAAAGCATTTTACAGGATCAGGGTCTAAGAGCCCTCACCTCCCACTGTGGTCAGCTGTAGCCAAGGATAGTAAAAACACAATGCAAGCGTGGAGCTGCTGTTTCCATGCCTGGGAGAGGAAGAGGCAGCCTGGGATCAGGATGAGAATGGAACAATCTAAACACCTGGGGCATTAACCTGTTACCCTGTGGCTTGGCCATAGCACCATGCAAGTGTAAAGTGGTCTCTGTCAATTACAGCTGCCCTACCTTTAGAGTCCTTTACATGGGCACAGGTGCATACAGGGGTTTCCGATGGTTTACCCACAAAGCTGCACCTGTTTCATCGAGGGTGTGATTTAAAAATCAATTGAGTCAAGCCGGTGGGAGAGTGGACACTCAGGTCTGGAGTCTTTAGAAAGAAGTTCAGAGAATGCCTTATCTACGCAAGAATGTTACACTGCTTTAACAAACCAGTTGAGTTACACCAGTGCGAACGCCTGTGTGGACATTTATTTTGGTTTAAGAGCAGCTTCTTTTGGTTTAGCTGAAGCTGCTTCCTAATTGGAAGAGAGTCCATCCATTTTAAAAGCACCCCTTAGTGAAACTGGTTGAACTTTTCCCTATAGACAAGGTATCGGTTCTTAAAATACACATTCAACTGGTGCAACTTGTGGGTCTAGACAAAGTCTGTGTGCATAGGAGAATAAGGCTCCAAGTTCATTTTGCAGTGTATTATCACCTTCTTTGCTGCGCTCTCCCTCCTTCCCACAAGTTAAGGACAATGGGCAGACTTAAAATGGAAAGTAATTGCATAGTTACGCCTTCTTAAACCAAAGAGGGAACGTTGGGAAGTTTTGAATTTTCTTTCAAATCTTCGACCCTGCTCTGTGCGAGCCTGGAATGAAGACAATTCCAGTTTGGGCTCGACAGTTACAAACGTCTGTGCAAACACAGTGCTCAAGTTATGCTCCCCTGCAAAGTAACATGTGGACTAAAGGACCGGTCCACACCAGGGGCCAGGCGAGGGAAAGTTGGGAACCATATAATAAAAGTGTGTGGAAAATTACATAATAGCTCTATTTTACTTACAGTTCTTTTATCAAAAATATCTTTAATATTACCTATCGTTCAAAGATCAGCTACGGCTCAACAAAACAGAGCCAAATTAATGCTATTCAGCAGAACAGAGGTAGTATGGAAGTAACTTGCTCAAGTAGAAAAATCAAGTGAGAGCGAGAGAGAGAGAGAGAGAGAGTTAAACTAGCAGCAAACTGGTATGGATTTAGCTTCCAGTGCCGCAGGGTGCTTGATACGTCCTTTCTATTTCCAACTTCCCCACACCGATGGTTATTGCTGGGTGGAGACACGGACTTCACTTTCCCACGGATTCTTACTAAGGAGGTTTGACTGTATCGGGAGCAGAATGGGTTTGCACAGTACTTCTGTAAGAAAAACGCCAATAATCTGTCCTGCCGCCCTCCCACCCCCACAAAAAGTTAAAAAATAAAATTTAAAAAACAGAGCTGAGCCCATCGCAACGGTAGAGTCCTGAACCTGCTGCTAAGAGGCATGCTCAGAAAAACTAGGAAGGAGATAGGTCTTGAGGTGCAGCCCCTCCCTCCGAGCCATGCCCCTGAAATACTCTATGGCCAACTTGAAATCTTTTCAGTACCAGCAAGGAATAAAAACAACATTAAAATCTCTTATTAAAAAGGTTCATGATCTTTAAACTAAAATTGCTGGGCTGCTTTGCTAACTCCTCGGAAAAGCTCTTTTAAATTAGTTTAAGTTGGAATCCAACGGAAAGGACCCAGTCACAGTCTTCTCCATGTGCCTTGACAACGCTTTGGTCTTGTTGATTGGATCATTTTAAGAACCTGGTGTCTCACTTCCTGTGCTCTGACCTAAGCATGCCTCCTCCAGTGGCTTGCTAACCTTAGTCACCCCTTGCCAGAAGAAACCGGTTTGATAGCATTCCCCTCCCTTTCAGAGTCTCCTGGAAGGAAAGGTTTGGGTTTTCCCTCCTTGTCAATGGATCCCCACTACAACACTGTAGTGGAATCACATTGGCCACCCCAGCCCTACTCTCCTTTGAAGAGGGAGAGAGGAACATGGAAAAAAATTATTGCATTCCCCCATCCTCCATGGGTCCCAATGTCAGCGCTAGCCAGACTCTTCAGAACCTGTGTATTAGTGCTTCTCGTTCCCTTTCTTTGCGTTTCAGTTCCTCTTTGTAACAGCAGGAGCAGAAATTCCCGGTTTCCGGGTGCCCGTAAAAACTGCAGTTCGGCTGCTTGCATTTGGTCTGAGGAACGTTATAAAGTATCCGGCTTTTGCTTTTGTCCCCGTTTGCTGCCTTCTGCAAGCTGTCCTGCTCCGGGGATTCCCTGTAGCCGTTGCTGTGAGGGGACACGCAGGTAGGACCATCGCACTCCACGGGGTAGTGGGGGGGGACATCCATTTCTGTGGGGGAGAGCCTCCCCAGGTGGGAAGGGCTGGTTTGGTATGGATGAGGCCGCCCCTGAGTGCAATGTCTAGGTAAGGTAGCATAGGGAGGAAGGCTGCTGCAGGGGCCCCCTGCTAGCTGTCTCCTGGTATCTTGATAGCTGGGGGGATGGCCGCCTTCTACACTGTTGGCCACAGCAGGCCGGGGAATGGTGAAGACTCCTGAGTAGCTGGAAGGGAAAGCAGTCATTTTTGCACCCATGGCAACCTCCGGGCTCTGGACACCGTACATCGGAGGCAACTGGGGGTAGGACGGGTGCAGGAGCCCCTCCTCGCCTTTGTGAAGATTAGCCTCCGGCTCCAGCTTCTTGGCGGCTCCGCCGTTCCCCAGGGCTTTCTTCTCCGCCTCCTTTTGCTTCTGCTCGGCCAAGAAGCGCTCCTCGGCGTCCGACAGGTACCTCTGGATCATCTCTTCCTGGTACTGGTGCCGGTTGCTGGTCTTGAGGTGGCCAGCGAAGATAAACTTCCGCTCGCCCTGCATGGCGGCCCGCAGGATGCTCAGGCTAAGCTTGACGTCGTTGCTGTATTTGTAGCCATCTGGCTGCTTCTCCACGGTCGCTTGGTTGGGGCAGGTTCTCTCAGTAGAGGTCGACAAATCCCCTTGGGAAGTTTCCTCTTTGCTGCCTTTCCTCGACTTCAGGGAGCCTTTCTTCTTCTTCTCCAAGGTTTCCCCCTGCCCGTTGTTCACGCCGCCTTTGGCAGTTTTACTGTGCATCAGGCCTCCCATGTTCTTTTTTAGCTTACTTCCCAAAGTCTTCCCAAAGCTGCCCAGCTTATTAGCCACTGAGTCTGCCCGTTTCTTCTCTTTCTCCTTGTCTTTGTCCTTCTCCCGCTCTCGCTTGGGTTTCTCCTTCTCCTTACTGCTCTTACTGCCGCCGTTGCTTGTGGAGCTACTGCAGACAGATTCCTTGTCCGACTCCCCGGACTCCGCAGCTGAACGGGCATCGTCGCCGGCAGAAGCAGTCGGGGATTCTGGCTGGGCGAGAGGGGCCTACGGAGAAAGCAAGCAACCTTTAGAGAAAAAGCAAGCTGAGCATTTACAGTCTACAGGCCAAATTTGGGAGTGGATGCCACAGGCAGGTACCTAGTAGAAAGGGCTAAACATGCACAAGGGCACCTTGCTGACACTAGTGCTGGCTCTCCAAAAAGGCACAGACAAGCTACTCCGCAACAGGAACGTGTTGGTGCACAAGGCTGTATGTATGTCACGGCCTACCCAACAGCATGCTCCTATCCCAGGGCTGAGCAAAATACGGCCTAGGGGCCGGATCCAGCCCACCAAGCCACCGGATCCGGCCCACAGACCATCCTGCTGGGGCCCTCAGGCACACGCCACTGTCGCGGTTTAAAACCGTCCCAGCAGCTCTCTGCTCTGCAGGGAGGGGGAGGCGGTGAGAGAGCTCCCCGCCCCCAGCCCAATCCTATTGGCCAGAAACAATGGTCAATAAGAACTGACCTCAGACAATTACTCAGCTCCTAATGGCTGGAAACAACCAGCCAATCAGAGCTGACACTGGGGGCAGCGCAAGCTTCTCCCCCCACCCAGAGCGGAGGGAGCAGCCTGTATTTTCAAAGCGGCTGGGGCTGCAGCAGGCAGCCTCCTGGCCAGGAAACTTAGGCAAGCGCCTCCCAGCCAGCGCCTGCCTCTGGCCCCCCAAACCCGCCCACACCCCAACTCCCTCCCCCAGATCACCATCCAAACCCTCTGCACCCCCTGCTCCAGGTGACAACTCCCTCCCAGACCCTGTATCCCCTCCTACACCCCTCTCCCCCAAGCTAGAACCCTCTTCTGCACCCACACTCCCTCCCTGACTCTATACCCCAATCCCAACTCGGGGTCAACCCCCTCCTCCACCCAAACACCGTCTCCTGCACCCCAGTCCCTTATCCCCTGCGCCCTTCTTCACCAAACCTCCAACCTAGACCCCACACTCCTCCACAGAGAAGTGTGGCCCTTGACCACTTTCCAAAACCTTGGAGTGGCCCCCACCAAAAATTATTGCCCATCCCTGTCCTATCCAGTTAAAACACATGCCAAAAATTACATTTCTACTTTAGGTTCTGCAGATGCATCAGTTTAGGGTACGATTTTAATGGAGGAAAGCAGGCCCTTAACTAGAGACGTCCGCATGCTCTACTGGGCTGACCTATCCCCTTCGGGCCAACTACAGATGCTATTTTGGACGCGTTCTGGAAACGGCCACTCTTGCAGCCCTCATAGGCTTGTACAAATGAGCACAGAGGACAAATGCAAGACGCATGTTACCCACCCAAAGAAAGAGCCTTGGAGTACAGCAGGATGGCTCCTTACAGTGGGTTTGTATGGCACAAGAGCGGCCGTTTGGATGCTGAGATCCCATAAATAGTAAACCCAAATCAAGACAGCAGCACAATAAAACGGCAGATACCACTCAAGCTTGGAGCTGTGACCCATTTCACTAGGGGTCACTATACACCCATAGTTCATTCATGTCATTTACTTGTAATGACCTGGGGCCCTTCCGGGCAGGCGAAAATTTAGCTAGGATACAGAGCGGCCGTTTGGATGCTGAGATCCCATAAATAGTAAACCCAAATCAAGACAGCAGCACAATAAAACGGCAGATACCACTCAAGCTTGGAGCTGTGACCCATTTCACTAGGGGTCACTATACACCCATAGTTCATTCATGTCATTTACTTGTAATGACCTGGGGCCCTTCCGGGCAGGCGAAAATTTAGCTAGGATACAG